TTGTAGTAACCAGTCAAAATGCTGTTTTCCAAAGTTACTTGGGTAACTCCCTGCTCCCTTCAACGTGGTCATATTAATCAACTGCATTTCCCACTCCCATCAATCCGTTAGCATTTGTATGTTTGGCGTCCCTCCCACGTCCTGGCTGGTGTGAACTATTTGCTTATTTTCCGGGTATTGAAATAGTAGCATGGTTCTAAGTCAGAGCTACACAAAAAGCCAAGCTCAGAGGAGGGCTGCTGCCTCTTTAGCCTTATGACCACACCCTCTGGTCACCCACGCCCTGGTAGTATCTTGTACCAAGCCTGCCGCATAGTGTGGCCTCAGTAAACACCCGATGTCTGACCGTATCTTCAGTGAGTCCTGACTCCTAAAGTCCATTCTACGTTTGCGATTCCTCCTTCACATCGTGAAACTGGGTACTTCATCTTATTATGCTCAACAAAAGGGTTTGAGGAAAATCACTGCTTTCCTTAATTAGGTTGGTTCTCGGACGGAATTTAGTAGCCACTCAGAGAAGTGTTAGCTAATAATAACGAAGCCTATTACTCTTCTCGGACATGCAGAGTCACTGGTGACTAGAACTCAGCTTGATGGAAATTCTCGGGCAACATTTTCACATTTCAGCTTTTTTTTTTTTTAACATAGCATCTCAAAACAACTTGGCAGCATAAGAAATTATTTTTAAATCTCTGGAAAAGTACAAGATTAAAGGGAGTAAGAGTTGCATAAACATTTCTAAGAAAAATAATTACTAGTAAAAGTTGCAGGCTTTTTTTTTTTTTTAAATCACATAATAACCTCTTTAATGCTCCTGCTGTCCCTTTCCTCTGTACTTGATTTTCTAATTAATGCAGGAGGAAGCCACCAGAGATGAGTTAGTAAACTTAAAACCACTCTTAAATATCTGGGAAGGAAAAAAAGGAGTTTTGCAAATGTAGATCTATAGCTAAGGAGGAAACTGGCATCTGACACTATGTCCTTATTTTCATATCTGGAGAACACTTGGATCAAAACATGAAAAATATAAAACTTCAGGATTAGGGTAATGTGGATGGTAAAGTCATATGCCATAAGACATTTCCAAAGGATAATTAAATGTTTTATGAATTCTGCAAGTAAATAGCCTTTTCCATATGTAAAGTAAAACCAGCCCAGTCCTCTGAAACCTTGCTGTAAACTGATAATTAGACCATCTACTGATGGCCAGGCTGCACATGGGAAGGATTATGGGTTTGAGGAGTGTGGATAAGGTTACAGGCAACCCCGGAATCAGTCAGTTTCATTTATAGAGGGATCTAGATTGCAGTCTATGTGGATGCACGGGCTTCTATCACATACTAGGGGCATGGGCTTCCACATCAGACAGACTCAGGGCTGAATCCTGGCCAGGCCATTGACTTGCTACACTGGGCTGGAGAACGTCCCTAAGCCTTGCTTCATCCATATAATAGGCACAGGAATGCCAACTTACAAGTGATGTGACTTAAACCTGATGTGAAGCACTTGGTAAGTGCCCAGCATGGAAGAGGAGCTCAACTGGTAAGCACAGCCTCCTGGTGGAGAGTGAGGAGCCTGGAGCAGCCACTAGCTGGAATGTTGGCTCTGCCGCTTATTCACTGCGTGGCCTTGGGAAAGCCACTTAACTCTCTGAGCTATGGAAGGGGAAGTAGTAATTTAGAATGGGAATACTAACCAATAGCCAACTCTGAGATAGGGATGCTAACAAATAGAGTAGCTGCAAGGATCAAATGTATTAATACAGACAGAGCACTTAGAACAGGGCCAGACTCACTGCACTCTATAAGAAAGAACAACAATTATTAATTTTTAAATTTATTAATTATTATTATTATTATTTTGTAGAGACAGGGTCTTGCTATGTTGCCCAGACTGGACTTAAACTCCTGGCCTCAAGAGATCCTCTCGCGTATACAATGTGCACTACCCGAAGGATGGACATAATTGAAACACGGACTTCGGTGGGGGGGGAACCAAGGGCAACACACCTAACCTAATCATCTGTACCACGGGAAGGGCGGCGGGAGGAGAGGGGAGGAGGGAGGAGGGGACGGGTATTTGTATACACAAGGAGAGCAATGCGCACTACCCGAAAAATGGACATATTTGAAACACGGACTTCGGTGGGGGCGGGGGGGAACCAAGGGCAACACACGTAACCTAAACATATGTACACCCATAATATGCTGAAATAAAAAAAAAAAAAAAAGAGATCCTCTCGCCTTGGCCTCCCAAAGTGCTGGGATTACAGGCGTGAGCCACCATGCCTGGACTGCTGGTTATTATTAACTGTGACTACTCAGTCAGCCCACCGGAAAAATGGGGAGTGCATGGCGGTGGAAGTCAACTGCTACACAGAGCACCAGACCTGACGCAGGGTTTCAGAAGGAGTTGTGTCAGTAACTTACATCGACAGCTTAAGACTGTACGCAGGCTTGCCCCGTTTGGCAAATGTCGTGTCCGGTGGCTTAACCCCCAGTAGTGAAGAGCCAAGCCGAAGTCAAGAGGACAAGAGCCTACGCACCCGTCGGGAACATATTATAGCAATTTGGATGCACGGAACAAGAACGACAGCAAAAACCTTGCTCGTGTGTTTTGCAAACTACACCCTGTAGCCAGCCTGCTTCAAAAAACTGGTTCTACAGAGACAGAGAACAAATCTTTAAGGTGAATAAGATGCTAAAATCTAAAGTGCTGGAGTGCTGGATCTTTTCTCTTGCAACTGTTTATCCTCTGGCATATTTATTTAAATTGCTCATCTTCTATAGATGCTGCATTTCATCTCATGAAAAAAAATCAATGGAAATAAAACTACTGGGCTGTTCTGTCCTTGTTTCTAAACATGGTAATAAAATGCTATCTCTCAATGTATTGACACTGCGTTAGGCAGGGCAATAGCTATTTGTACCTTTTAAATTCACAGGGAAAGGCATGCTTTTCATCAACTTTCCAGGCAAGGCTTTCTCTCTAGTCTTCTGTCTTCCTTCTTTAGAAAACAGTTGGCCGTGAATAAGAGCAGTGACACCCCAGGTTTCCTAGAGGAAGATTACTACAGGTCCACATGCTCTTATCCTCAATTCCGAATTCAAGAATGTTCTGAAAACTGAAAGTTTCCTTAAAACTTAACCTGAACTGACACAAGTCTCTAAACTTAAAAAATTTATTTCACTTGGTTTCAACATCACATACAGATTACAATACGCTGCCTGAGACCCCATTGGGGTGCTATATAGTATGTGCACGGTTATTCTTGTAAAATCTGCATTCTCCTACTAAAACTCTAAAATTTCTGAATTCCAAAATAAATTGGGCCCCAAGGCTTTGAAATGCAGGATTGTGGACTTGTAGGAAAGTTACTGATACTGTTATGTTCCAAACACAGCTTTGTGAATATAGTCAGTAAGAAAGATAATTCTAGAATTTTCTTTAAACCACTCTCTTTTAAAACCAGAACTTGGACCGAACCTTCACACTGCTGATCTCATGATTAAAGATGGAGAATAATCACTCAGAAATTTCACCCAAAATGTTGTCCTCCCCTCAAGTGGCTGTACCATAACTCATACCATATGAGGGTTTTATGGAAAATTCCCAGTGGTGGAGGACACATATGAGCAGACGTGTGGGGCTGCCAAGAACATGCACCCCTTCTTATATGGGCATATGCTCTTGGGAGTGACTCTTCTGGAAGACTGGCCTGCTCTGGATTCCATTAGACCTGGGTTTTAAATTCCTGCTCCATTAACTAGCAAGTTTATAACCTCTGTGGGGTTTCATTTCCTCGTGTAAGTCGGGGAAAATACCATCTACTACTCGGGACTGCTGGAATGAAACGAAATAAAATCATAGGCCTTATCCATAGAAATAAGGTTTAGCTTCTTTCCACCCCCTCCATCCCTTCCCACACTTTCTTTCCTCCTCTGAGTAAGACATCATTTGGAGACCAGTTATAAGTAGAAGGCTTAGATTTTACTTTCTTCTTGTGGACAAATTTTACGTGCATGCATTTGTGGTCCCTGCTTGTGTATCACACAAGGTGGATGGAAATGGATTTGGATTGAGGTCCTTGAATCAAACTCAAATTCAGAAATGTCAAGGAAAATAGGTGTTGAACAGAGAGGGGTAGACTGCAGGAAGACCCCTGTCCAGGACCCAGGAGGCTGGGGGCACAGATATCATTTAAGGATCCCTGGTCACTCACATGGGTTTGGCCTCACTGACTCTAGATTTGACTGACGAACTGAACCAGGGAAGCCCAGATGCTTGGGATGCTTGCACATGGTTCTTAAATCAAAATTCTCCACCCTAGTTGCACAGACAGTCAGGCCCACCCCTGAGATTTAGCTGATGTGGCCAATCTCAGGAGTCCATGATTTCAGTATGGAAGTCCACGTTCCAAAGTACTGCCCACAGATGGTGAGTGGATGGTTAGTGTGTGCTTCTCTGGAATGACAGTGGAAACCTGGAGCGCAAAAGACCAGCAGTTGCAAGAATTCACCTATTTCCTCCACTCTGAAGACTGGCCTAGGGGAGAGGGGTTGGTGGCGGCTGTGTGTGCCATCGGAAAACCAAGGAGCCACAGGAAGCAGCTCCAATGTGTGCCTGATCTGCCCCTGCTCCGCACAGCCCCTGGCTTCCAGGAAGGGAGAAGCACTGGCTAAATCACGGGCACGGAGGCAGGCGGAGGTAGCCTCTACCTGCCAGGCTGGATGTAACTCCCCTGCACTGCAGCGTGCAGACGGACGGGGCACTGGCCCTGGGCACAAGGTCTGGGTAGGGACAAGAGCACTGTAGATGCTCTTTCTCTCCCGTCTGGGAACAAAACCCCCACCTCACTGACTGGGAAAGGAAAAACACACAGCACAGGGCCCCGCGTGGCCCAGGAGTTATCAGAAGCACAGAACAGAGAACAAACGTTCATGTTTAACCGAGTAATGCTATTTGTGAAACATGCTCAAGAGTCACTGGAATTGTCCCACCTGGGGCTTTCCCATTCTTGGTCATCCTTGTCTTTCTCTTCTTTGGTGTCTCCAGTATGTGGGTGTTTCTGAACAATTCGCATTCCACCAGCTTTCACTGAAATGAAAACAAAAACGTGTGATTAATGCGGAAACGGAACCAGCTGGGGATGGGGGAATGAGCTGGGAAGTTTTTGGTTGCCCAATGGCCACAAGCTAGTCCGGAGAATCTGGCAGTAACAATTATTAACTAGGGAAGGTTAGCGTTTGGAGGAGAGTCAACACAATACAACACTCAATGCTATCTCTTACTCCAGAGCCACTTGGAAACTTTCCATGGCTCTTGTTTTCTTTTATGGCCACCTTTCAAGTATTTTGTAAGAGCAGTAGCGTAATCAGTGTGAAGAAGTGGCTGCCTGCTTTAGGTCCTGCACGTGGTCTTGACACGAGGGCTCACTGAAACCCTGCCCTGTGATATTTATTTTCTCAAATATCAAGGCTGCTTTGGATGGGATGACATAATGATGGGTGACAATGGACAGCTACTGTGCCTTCATAAAGCCCAGGCAAGCATCAGCAAAGACTCCTGCAGGAGCTTTGCTCAAACTGTGTTGTGAAACCCTACAGCTGGCAGATGTTAATTCAGTTTTTTAAAACAGATTTACTGATATATTAATATAATTCATGTACAATACAATTAACCTATTTAAACTGTGCAATTAAGTGGCTTTGAGTGTACTGAGAGTTGTACAAGTAGTGCCACAACCAATTTTGGAACATTATCATCCCAAGCAGAAACCCCATATCCATTAGCAGTCGCTCGCCACGGTCTCCTTCCCCAGCTCCTGGCAAAGTCACCTGGATCTGCCTCTTCTGGACATTTGATAGAAGTGGAATTATAAAATACGTGGCCTTTGGTGACTTTCACTTAGCATGTTTTCAAGGTTCATCCATGTCGTAGCATGTATTTCATTCCTTCTATCGCTGAATAATATTCCATTGCATAAATATACCACATTTTATCTATCCATTAGTAAGTTGGTGGACATTTGGGTTGTTTCCACATTTTTGGCTATTATGAGTAACGCCGCTATGAACAACTTGCAGACACGTTTTTGTGTGGACGTATGTTTTCATTTCCTTGGGTACCTATCTAGGAGTGCAACTGATGGGTCACATAATAACTCTGTATTTATCCTTTTGAAAAACCACTGAACTGGTTTCCAAAACTGTGGCACTATTTTACATTCCTGCCAGCTAGGAGAGTTCCAACTTCTCCCCATGCTCATCCACACTTGTAATTGTCTGTCTTTTAATTACATCCTCCCTAGTGGGTATGAAGTGGTATCTCATTGTAGTTTGATTTGCATTTCCCTAACAGCTAATAAGTTAATACCATATTGCAATGGGGGGCGGGGGAATCCTAGGATCTAATAAGAGAAACGCTAGATGGAAAAAATGAAATCGGTTTCCTCAAGAAAGATTTTTGGCCTTCAGTGTGCTAACTTGCATCATGAAGATTTATGGGGGCACACAGCATGCAGTCTCTCCCAAATGCATGTGCCCTTTTTTTTTTCTTTCTTCCAGTAATACTGGTTATCCTCCTTTACAACTAGAATGTTCCAGGGAATAGGGTTTGGAAATGCTTGGCTCTACATCCGCAAAGCCAGCCTCATGTGCTGCTCTCCAGCACATGCTTTGGAGTCAGCAAGTTCCTCTACATCCTCAGCTACGTGGTCTCAGACAAGCCACTCAGGTTCCCAAAGACTCACTGCTTCATCTATGGAAAGCGGATAAACCTCCCAAGATCAAGCCACTTAAACGGGGCCCTAGAGGCGTTCGGTGGAGTCCTGGCACAGATGAGTGCTGGAAAGAAAGTAGAGCCCTTTCCATTGCAGTCATCGCCCCCAGGCTCTCGGAGCAGGCCTCCCCGAGCCCCACCCCCCAGGACAGCTCAGATAGAATCCCACGATGCAGTCAACTTGTCACGCCATGTTTTCCAGTGTTTCCAGTCTGGGCGGACCCTGCTGAGTCACAAAAGTCCAGGACAAGTTTATTTATGATGCTGATGAGTAGGAAGGCCAACAGGAACAGCAGCTCAGGTTCACACGCTTCGCATTTATTAGTCTTTGATTTCCCGGGGAGACTTTGCCAGCCCCTGACTTCAGGAAGACGATGACGCTTGCTTCTCAGGACCAGCGGTGCTCTAGCAGCTGCCCATTAGAAGAGGGCGACGCAGTGAGCAAGGAAATAAAGGACTGTATCTAAACAGTGCATCTACTGGTCTGGGTTTGGAACTAAAACCTCCCTGCTGCCCCCACCTCTTTTCAACAGAGGGGACATTCTGCTTTGGAAAGAAGGAAATATTAATAGAATCCTGTTCAGTAATCTCGAAAATCTGCTTTATATCCTGTCAACTGATTTTTAATCATTTTTGTTTTCATTTTTAGAGTTTATCTTTTTTTGTCTCAAATTCATCAGGTCTTTGATGGAATCTTATCCTTATGTTTTCAATTCCTTTACGTATTTAATCATTTTAGGCATCCTTGTCTTATAGCTGTATATCCAATTATTATGTTTTTTGAAGTCCTTGGGAGTCTAATCCTGCTGTTTGTTTTGACTGCTGACTCCTGCTCTTGTGCTGGGTGACTGTGGATTATGAGCTTGTCTTTGCCAGGCTTTCCCAGTAAGGATCCTGTGGGGCCTGCAGTGTAGACAGCAACTCTTTGGAGGGATGCTGCATGTGTTTCTGTCAGACCAGGAATATAGATGTCTGCAAATCCTTTTTATGGCAGATTTCTCAGAATAGAAATTATCAGACCAAATAGTACGAATCTGAACTCAAACTCATGTAAAAGCAGGCCTGTGTTTAAAAATTCTCCAGGAAACTCTTGTCCCCATCTGGAGCGGGGCTGACACAGCCCTGCATCCCTCCATCCCAGGGCTCTGGGCAGGTCTCCCCTCCCCCACCTTTCCCCAGGGTTTGATGTTTGAGAATTCAGATTTCTGCTGGGGTCGCAGGAGCTATTCCCTGCCTCATGTGGGCTCGAGTCTCATAACTGTCTGAATTTCAGTTCCTTCCTTGTTTTCGGTCCCCAGGGACTTGCCTAAGTTTGAGATCAGATTAAAATAAAAGAAGAAAGAAAAGTGCCACCATTTGCAGGCAGCTTTTTTAAATCTGAGGTTTCCCAGGCTATCTAGTCTGCCACATGATCAGAAATGGAGGTAGAACATAAAATTCTGTACTAGTTAATTTTCCAGTCTCTCTGTGAATGTTTTTGACCAAAAAGCGGGCCTAGAACTGTCCCACTAAACATTTTTTTAAATTCACTTCCCTCCCTCCCCTCTCTATTTCGTCACCATTAGAAACTGACTAAAGATGCTGTGATGGGCTGAATTGTGTCCCCACAAAATTCCCATGTTGAAGTTCTAACCCCCACACCTTTAGATTGTGACTGGATTTCGAGACAGGGCCTTTACAGAGGTAATGCAGTTAAAATGAGGTCGTTAGGGTAGGGCCCTAATACAATACGACTGGTGTCCTTATAAGAAGAGAGAGATACCAGGGATGTGGGCACACAAAGAAACAGCCGTGCGACACAGCAAGAAGGAGCCATCTGCAAGCGCAGGAGAGAGGCCTTAGGAGAAAGCAGACCTGCCACACCTTGCTCTTGGACTTCCAGCCTCCAGAACCGTGAAAAGTAAATGTCTGCTGTTTAAGTCACCCGGTCTGCGGTATTTTGTTATGGCAGCTCTAACAAATGAATGCAGATGCTCATTTAAAAATGATCTATCTCTGAATCATTTCAACCTGGCAGACACTTTTTATTTATTTATTTTTAATTTTTTCGTTTTTTTTGCATAGATATAAAACTTTAAAACTATAACTCACAGATGGGTTCCATAAACTGACTAAAAGTAAAAAGGGCTGTGCAACTAACTACAAAGAAAACTGACGACGAATGTCAAGGTGACATTGGAAACGATCGAGTCTTCCGAAGCTCTCTCGGAGCAGCCTGTCCACTCCTCTGTTGAAATAAGCACACAATCAGGGCTCAGTCACCCGGCATTAGCACTTGCATTTAATTTAGTTTCTGAAAACAATTAACTCCATCAATCCCTCTCAGTATGTTTGGTGATTAATGCAGCAATAAAAAGTGGCAATAATAATAATAACTCAAGCCTGAGACAGATTCATTGTAACTTTCTGCCAAAAACTATGACAGCACATATCTATCATGACTGTTGTGTCATTGTCTCTACAACTTTTCATTTGTAAAACTGCAAAGGCAGAATTACTTTTGCAGAAATCTTTGCAGAATTTTCAAATCTAAATACTTTTATGAGAGACATTAGGAAAAAACTCATATTTCTGTTGTGTTATTCAAGTGGGAACTTCAAATCTAAAGAATAAGAAGCTTCCTCTTAGCAGAAGTGCTATGCAGAGGCCCAGAACACAGGTCCTGGAGCCAGGCCCTTGGGTTCAAATCCTAGCCCTGCCCGTGTGTGCGTGTGTGTACACGTACCCGTGTGTGTGTGTGCGTGCGTGTATCTGGGCAAGCTGCTGAAGCTCTTTGTGCCTCAGCTTCCTCCACTTGTGAAGAAAGAATGGCAATGTTTCTCTCTCTCCAGGACAGCTGAGGATTAAATGAGTTAGCACACATGAAACACCTCTACCAGGGTCCAGCACACGGGACGTGCTCATCTGTTAGCTGGTCTTATTAAACAGGTTTTAAAAATTAGCATTTAGCCCTTGGAGAGATCTCCGTAGTCTTCGAAGCCTTTACCATCTCCCCACCACAGTCTCCTCCCACAGCACTGACCTCCGGGCTGCTGAGGAAGGAGGGAGGCGCCCTGGGAAGTGCTTGCTCACCGTGGTGCTGGCCACCACCAGGACCGCCAACACTGCATCACTGGCTAAGTAAGGAAGCTTCCAGAGAACCACCAATCCTGGCAAGTTCTCCAACTCTTGCTCTTCTCCATCAATGCTCTGTACCAGGCACTGCTCTAACCACAGTTCATGCGTCCTCCCGCTGCAGGCGGCCCTTGGGAGTAGATCCTGAAGCACTAAGAGGGGGAAGCCGCTTGCCCCAAAGGGCACAGCTGGCAGGCGGCAGG